AGATTGTCTTGTTAACCGATTTTCTACCCTGATTGTGCGTTAGAACCATCTTGGTTGCTTTCAAAAACAATGGCAATATTGGGACTCTACCCCAGACCAATTAATTTCCTTGAATTGGCCTCAGGGAAACTACCTTATTTTTCTGATAAACAAAAGGAGGACTGCAGTTTCTGTTAATTACACCACGTTCCAGAGCAAGTGGTGGCAGAGGGATACCAGTGCCTGCCTCAGGGCAGTGAGCTCCCACCAGGAAACATTTTGGTAAAATCTCATTTCTCTCCTTAATTTCAGTTTTTTTTTTCTTCAGTTCCAGATGGAAATAGTAATCTTCTATTTCTTTATGGCATTTCTTTGCCTCCATGGTCACCAAACACCAACTACATCTTTGAAGGATTTCTCTTGCAAAATAACTTGGAAACTCCAGGCTGTGTTGTTTATTTAAAGAGTCCCTGACCAGAGACACTTGGGATAAACCAAGATCATGTGGAGTTGATGAAGTTCCCCACATAAACACACACACACGCACACACACACACAAACACACACACGCACACACACACACAAACACACACATCTTGAGCTGAAATTGACTAAGCTGGTGGGTTCAAAAGGGTAAGAAATTCGGTTGGAATGGGTTAAATGTACAGGAAGGCATGCTTGTCTTCTCCCCTCTCCCTTAATTCCAACCCCTAAGCTACACTGTGGTTAAGTGGGTCACATGAGAGCCTCCCAGGTGGCCCAGCCACCCTCAGGAGGAGACACTTGTGGTCCTCTGACCTGAGGGCAGCGTTTTCCATTACAGAAGTGAAATGAGGCTATAAGGCTGGAAAGGGGACATTGTTGTTGAATGGTGGCTGACTTTTACAACCCAGAGCAGAAACTCAAAGCTTTCAGTCTTCCCTTGTCCCTCCCTGCCACATTTCTTTTCACAAAGCAACAAATTCTGGCCGGTTATCACTTATGCTCCACCCCATTCTTCTAAGTTAGCTTTTGTGCAGGAAAATAGAGAACTGTTTTCATTGCCTTATCAGTGTCCCAGGAAAGGGGAAAGGAGCGTCTGGGCTGCTATCTGCGCCTTGCATAGGGACAATGAAATGCTGAAAACAAGCTCCACGAGCAAGGGGCTGCCACTTCAGCCCCACAGAGTGTCTGTAAGGACCAGGGAAGGAGGGGCTGGGCTTAGCCTTCTGCAAACATAATAGCCCCTGGGGTGGGCTGCCGCAAACAGGAAGGGTGTGGGCAGGATCTGAGTGCAGCTGCCATTCTGCTCATGCCCCCATTCCCACAGCCTTTGATCAGCACGCAAATGGCATTTTGTGCCCTGAGATAAATGCTCGGTCAGAGGGTGTGGGGGCTGTGCAGGGGGATAAGGATTAAAGATGAAGATGTTTTATAACCTGCCTTAAGGATGTGTGCTTGAAACCTGGGATCAAGGAGGTGCTAACTACAAGGGAACAGAAAGATTTTCCAGGAGTGCATTCATTCATTCCCCAGGCATTTTTTTTCTGCACGCAGTAAGTTCAAGGCATTGTGAGGCACCTGGGTGGCTCAGTAGATTGAGCAACCAACTTCGGCTCAGGTCTTGATCTAGCAGTCTGTGAGTTCGAGCCCGTGTCAGGCTCTGTGCTGACATCTCAGAGCCTGGAGCCTGCTTCAGATTCTTTGTCTCCCTCTCCTCTCTCCCTCTGCTCTTCCCCTACTCTCTCTCTCTCTCTCCTCTCTCTCTCTCTCTCTCTCTTTCTCAAAAATAAATAAACATTAAAAAAAAAGTTCAAGGCATTGTGCTAGACAGTGTAGGAGATGCAATGGTGAATAATACACATGCTGCTTCCAGTCTAATATGGCAAATCTCATGTGTTGGAGAGGTTATTTGGAACTTTGGAAATTGTGGATTTGCATAGCAAGAGGTGGGGTACTCTTTCAGCCTGGATATATTCTTCCCCACAATAGACTCAGATACTCACTGTCCCCACCTCAGGATTTATGCTCTGCAGTTGATAATCACTGTGGACTAGGAATGCTTTGCACATTTGAAGTGGGTGGAGGCAGATTAATAAAAACAAGGGGAACTCCTTCTTAGCCTAATTTGCAAAGCTAAGACTCATACAAAAAACAAACAAATAAGCAAACAACAATAAATACAATCACAGCCTCCCAATACACAGTAAAGATTGTTATTGCACAATCAGGGAGATGTGGATCTAAATCAGTGAGAGCAGAGAGGAAGTGGCTTCTTCCAGCCAGAGCCATGGCAGTGATAGTGATGGTGGTCATGTGAAGAAGAGCCTCCGGGAAGGCACGATTCCTAGACTAGGCTTTGAGTGTGGATGAGATGAAATTGAGGTGTGTGGTGATGGCAAGAAGTGCCAAGGAGGCTGGGAATGGTAGAAAGAACAGTTTGGGGGCAAATAAAATATCATTAATAGGGCACAGTGGTGGGGTGAGCACATCTGGTAGAAAATAGCTCACTGTGGGTAAGACTGTATATGTTTACCCCAAGAGGGAAGGCTGGAAAACAGTGGAAGGCTATTCTATAGAAGTCTTTGAATGCAGACTAAGACCTTAAACTGTGATCAGGCCACAGTCTATGGGGAAAACCCACCACTTACCAACCCTAGACTTTTCCACAGCCTGAAGGAAGGTCCCCAGGTCCTGTGGTGTAACACCTTGCCTCTGGGCCACACACAAAAATGAGGGCACTACACCATGAAAAGTCAAAAAATGGCCAGAAACCTTTCTGAAACTCTAGGCAAGATGTCTTACCATCATTGGTTGGTTCATAAGACAAATATCTCAGGGAGGTGTCTTTTTAAATTTGTGATTGAATTATAATTTATAATATATAATTAATTTATATTTAAAATAATTTTTATTTATAATTTAATAATGTCCTGGCATCATTCCAGGCCTTAGGAGTGCAGCACCAAACAAAAAACTCAAAGTCCTGTCCCCAAGGAGCTGATATTCTAAATGGGGAAAAGCAGCCAACAAATAAATGTAGTGAGTCAGGGTTAGGAGGCAGATTCATGCAGGGTAAGATGTTGAGAGAGATGGTGGTGGTGGGTTAACTTACATAGGGTGGTCAGGGAAGGCCTTCTGGTAACTGAATGACATTTGGGCAGCAGCATGACTGAAGTGAAAGAAAAGCATTCCAGGCAGAGGGAACTGGGGGGGAATTTGTCAGTTCTATAGTCAATGGAAGGAAGAGGGACATTGCCACGTCCACTTATGATGGATACAGGCACCTCCTCTCTGAGGTGAGGAGATGAGCAAGGGAAAGCCAGTATTGCATGCTTGACCTGGAAACAATCCCATGGCCCCGCTGGGGGTTTTGTTCCTTGGGCAATTCTGGGTGTTTTTTAATATAGCCTTCTTAGGATGGAGGCAGACAAAGTTTACCAAAAATATCTCCATAAGCCCTGATTTTGGTGAGCAATGCTGGATTAGGAAAACACTGTGGTTTAGAATGCTTCTATGACACTGAAGCTGGTTTTTGCAAGGAGACTGTGAATTTTATAGAGGATGGTGGATTGTTAGGGATGGAAAAGTGTTTCTTATAGGTCAGTTGTTTATTAATCCAAAAAAAATTTCTCCTTTGAGGTGAAAGGGCGGATCCATCTGTCTTGCCCACTTGAGCCAACAACACACCAATGAATGGTGTCAGAGTTTTTTTTGGCAGAAGAAATCCCTGTTAATACACTACAAAATTTGGTATATTTCCCCATACCCTACAATTGCCTGCTGCTCCCCTAAATGTTATGTAAATATAGTTGGAAAGCTTTAAAAAAAAAAAGCATGTATAATAAAAAGAAAGAAAATGTGGGGAAAAATTGGTAAGTGGAGTGAGTCACATATTTTGGTATACATATGTTCCTGAAAACGAGAAAGTTGAACCATAGAAGTACTTCCTGAGGGCTAAAATATGAAGAAAAAAAGCAAAAAGAAAAAAATCCTAATTAAAAAAATTTTTTTTTCAACGTTTATTTATTTTTGGGACAGAGAGAGACAGAGCATGAACGGGGGAGGGGCAGAGAGAGAGGGAGACACAGAATTGGAAACAGGCTCCAGGTTCCGAGCCATCAGCCCAGAGCCTGACGCAGGGCTCGAACTCCTGGACCGCAAGATCGTGACCTGGCTGAAGTCGGACGCTTAACCGACTGCGCCACCCAGGCGCCCCTAAGGGGGGGTCATTTTTAATAAGGACACTGAATAATTCAGATGGAGGTGGCTCAAGTAACATACCTGAAAAATATATTGCTCTTAAATATATTCATTCTAGAAGTCTAATTTTTACGAATAACGATGTCCCTTATAGTTGACTACAAAAATTAAGCCTGCTTTATCACCTTGTCTTATTATGTACTCTTATTTTTTTTTTTTTTTGTAACCTCCAATCCTATTTACCAAGAAAACCACACTTTCTCCCACACCTTTTCCAATCATCACATCTAATGAATACAAGCACTCAAATAATTAACTTCACTTAGCTCTCTCAAAAGTGTAGATCTCTATGGGCATGTCTCCCAAGCCACCAAGATTGTGTTGAGGTCTCTGGGCATTACAAACACATATGTGTAAAATCACTGATTTAGAGGCACATGGATACATGCCCAGTCTCAACTGCATATAGGTGTCCAATGTTCATTTAGATGTATCCAGCTTAATAAGCAACAAGCCTTAAGTGGGCCCATGGTCATTGTGTAATACTGGAACATGCTTTTGCTTGTGTTTACGATTACAATGGCTTGTGGGTTCAGGTTGTATTTATATAGCACTGTAACAAACAAGGTGAAAAATAAAAAAAGTTCAATTAACGGGCTAATTGTGTGACCTTCATCGTATATTGATGATTTTATTATTTTCTAACTTTGCCAAATGAGTGAAGTATTTTAGTGGATGACAAGTACAGACAAGTGCTGGGCAAGTGTTCCATCTGATGTATGTTATTTTTGTTACAGCTTAACTTCTTGAAGATCTGTTTTATACAAAACCAGTGTGTGTACTGGCACAAGGCTTGGTATTTACTTTTACCAAAACGTAAAACTCCACATGCAGATTGAGACACCTGGCTCTGCAGCATCCAGGCTCATTTACAATACAATTGCGCCTTCTACCAAGGTTGGCATTGCTGGTGCAGCAACATTCGTGTTCATTGTTTTGATTTGTCATAATATCTGGCTGAAGAGTAAGTACTATATTCCTACAAGATAGAGTCAATTGCTGGCTTCTCACAATAATTTTTTTTCCCCCATTTGAAGTGGCCTGTGTGAGAGGCAGATGGCTAAGTGATTCCATTACGCATGGCATCTCACACATCTTAACCAATTAGAAAAGGCTGTAGAGAATTACATGGAATTAATCCCATCCAGAAGGTCTAGGGACAGCCTCATCTACTCAAACTCTAGTTACTTGGTTTACAATGTCACAAGAGTCCCTTGATGGGATTAAAGCTGTGTATCTCTGGGCAGTTTGTCTATTATTTCTTGTGAACAGTGTGTGGGGGTGGTGGGGGGGCTACAACTGTGTCAGCATTTGTTGGGGGTTAACAGTAAGCTCTCACATTCATTTTATTCAATCTGCCAAGCCGTGAGACCCTTTGAAAATGTCCACTTCTTTTATACTTGTAAAAACCATGCCATTTAGTTGACTTCTTTTGGCTTTTTCAAGTGTTTGTTTTGAAGTTTCATTTATACAGGAAATAGACATAATCACCAATAAATTTAACTTTAATAACTGAGACCCTGGGAGCCTTTCCTGGTTGGCAAAAAATTCCCTACATGCTGCAAATCCTCCTTATGGGATATCCTATTTCTTATCTGGAGTTGAAAGTCGGGATTAATCCAGATGATTAAGAAAATCTTTCTAAAAGATACCCTGCATCCTCTTTAAAATTAAACTCTCCTTGGAAGTTTCCTTTCTTTTCTTACTAAAATCATAATGTCAATGATAAAAGTACATCACAGGAATTTTGGTATTTTCCACAGGTATGTTTAAAACTCAAAGACAGTGGGATCCTCCCAATTTACTATTCCACAAAAAATGACATTAGAATATAATTTTGAATCTAATTATTAATAATTGATATTAATTTGACAATGTATGCAATATACTAAAGAAGTTGCAAGTGTATATAAAGAAAAGCTTTTGATTCTTTCATTTAAGTTATCCATTTGAAAAGCTCCCACATCATATATACCATATATATGTGTTTCAGTGAATACACATACACACACACACACACACACACACACACACACTTCATCTTCTTTGTAAATTCCTAAAGCCAGACACCCTCCAGCAGATAGTGTTACTGAAGGTTTCTGTCCCTTCCTCTTTGCTTTCCAAGGCATGGAACTCACACTCTCCTTCTCAAACAGGCAGATATACTATAAAAAGTAACATCAACCATGGGAAACATAAAGGGAGAAGGGATATGCCATAAACAGGGATAAACATCTTCCATTATGCAAATCTGCAAGATCCCTTTAAGCACAGAACTGCTCCTTGTCCCCACTGTGGGCCCTCTTTCCTGTCCAGGGACCTATGAATGGGGTCTTTCCCTCTTAAGTGACCCACCATGAGAGGCTTAGATAAGGCACAAAGTTGCCCTCACTAGACTTCAATCCCCCATCTCTGCAACAAAGTGGGAAAGTTATACTTTTGTTAGCACTCTATCAAGGAAAAAAAAAAAAACAAGGAAAACATCCACTGGACAAAGCCTACTTTGTGTGCCGAGAAACCCTGATCCTTGACTATTGTGTCTAGTCTTGTTTATGCAAGAAATGATTTTTCAGTATTTTAGCAAAATTATCAGCAGGGAAATTTTAATATTCTATATGTTTATTTGGTTAGTACACTCTCCAATATCTAGAGGAAGAAAACATTCAAAAAAATTTCTTTAAACAGAGGAAAGAATCAAATGTTCATTTCTGAATAAGAAAGCTCTCACTGTGAAATGCCCTGATACAGTAAGAAATGTACTTTACGCCAAACTTTAAGAAACTTACTCTATACATAGGATGTGTGGATATGTTCTGTGTTTATACTTTTTTATCATATAGTTTATGTATAGTTTAGTTTATATATTTATATATATATTTAAATATATAAAATATTTATATATTTAATACATATATTTAAATATATATTTATATATACAGTTTATATATTTATGAAATATTATTATCTCAAGTCTTTTATGTGTGAACAAGTGCAACTATGAGACTCAATGGCTTTCTCTGACTAACCCCAAAGCCCAAGTAGGCTTTAAATTATATGTAGTGCTTTCAGCATGTGACAGAGGCAGGAAATTGAGGGAGAGGTAGAGAACGCCAAAGACAGAAGTGGGTTTAGAGATCCCATGGCCCAGGTTCTAAATCTCAATTCCACACTTCACTCATTAATAGACCCTAGTAAATATTATTTTGTTTTGATTTTTGAGCTATGATGCTAGGATAATAACATCTCCCTTACAGACCTGCAAGTACTCCTGTAAAAACCTCCGTTGTAAAGGAGGCATGAGAAATAAGCTTTGAAAGTGGTTGGTTAAGTACCAGAGGTAGGTAACTGCAGAATGGCTTGGTTTTCTTTCTATCTCCCCTGGAGAGGACAAAGGGTCTTGAAAAGACCTTTGCTCTATTATGCCAGTGAATTTTCAAACTAGAGTCTGTTACTCACTCAACAAGTATTTATTACTGACCCTAGGCCAGGCAGTATGTCAGATATTAGAAGAACTCTGGAAAATGATTCAGGAAGCTTCAAATGTTTGATCTGAATTTTATTCGAAAAAAGAATAGAAATGGCATGCATGTTCAATATGCTGGATATCAGGCTGACTCTTGATAGCACTGGTGTTGTAACTCGTGTACTCAGGTTAACTCGTTTTTGTGTAGAGTCAGAATATAGCTTCTCTTGCCTTCTCTGAAAATATTTTTACTTCTAAATGTGCCATTGATTAGGAATGTAATGGTGCTTAAACGTTCCTTTAAAAAATTCAGGCCCACTCATGTGTACTCATGTAAAACTGTACAAGCACACGACTGTGTTACATGAATGCTGGGTTCGGTTACATGAATACTGGGCTCGATAAATGCCAGGTCAGGCCTGGGGATCTGCCCAGAATCTGCTCTGTTCACTATGTAACTACACAGCTATGCAAAAACAAATGGCAAGCTACCTTGTTCGAAACAGTTCTTAAGTTGTAATTTTGAGTGCTTCTCTTCTGGCTTTTATATTTTTGAGAAGGAATGAACAGTTACTAACATATTCCTGATGATACAGTTTTTTACAATAAATATTTCCATCCACTTTTTCAAAGAGTATGTTGAGATTGCCAGGGGAGCTATGCAAGAGTGTCGGCCTTTGCAAAGACTTCTACAGCTGAATTAGGATTTGTCTCAGTACTGTGCAACCAAAACGAAGTACAGCAAAAAATGAAATACTGAGGCTGATTTCAAATTATTTTCTAAATCAAAACACTGGTTGTGCTTAATGATGGATTTGATAATAAGCCAATGTTGTAAATTAATTACATAGAAGAGGGGCGCCTGGGTGGCGCAGTCGGTTAAGCGTCCGACTTCAGCCAGGTCACGATCTCGCGGTCCGTGAGTTCGAGCCCCGCGTCAGGCTCTGGGCTGATGGTTCAGAGCCTGGAGCCTGTTTCCGATTCTGTGTCTCCCTCTCTCTCTGCCCCTCCCCCGTTCATGCTCTGTCTCTCTCTGTCCCAAAAATAAATAAACGTTGAAAAAAAAAATTAATTACATAGAAGAAATACACTAGTAGAATAATGTTTTGCCTGTTTCTATGCTGGGGTATTAAGTGCTCTTAAACAAGTACGGAAACCATGGCTTGAGGTATGACTTTCTCCAAAAGGAAGGCCATAGCGAGACAGCAGCAGAAGTAGTATAGAAGCTCTGTTTAAGGCAGTGCTGTTTTCCTTGTTTCTGGAGAAAAATGTAAATGTAACCCCCAGACCTGTAGTTTGCATGGTAACACAGACACAAGTGTTCTATGACACAAGTGAATGTCGAATAAAGTTCGAGTGAGATGGTCTCAATCATATTTTACCCATTTTGTGTATAACATCCCTTTTGTAAAGGCATTATCAAATTGCATGCATCTCTTCCCCCAGACTCAGAACCATCTGGGGATCTGCCCAGAATCTGCTCTGTTCGTTCACTATGTAACTACACAGCTATGCAAAAACAAATGACAAGCTACCTTGTTCGAAACAGTTCTTAAATTGTAATTTTGAGTGCTTCTCTTCTGGCTTTTATATTTATGAGAAGGAATGAACAGTTACTAACATATTCCTGATGATACCGTTTTTTTACAATATCATCCTCTCTGGACAAGGCTCATGTGGATTCTTCTGGTTCTGTAGGGCTTATTTCTCCTTTCACTGAAATGTCAATTCGTGCTTAATTCTTTAAAAATCACAAGAAACATCACGTGGATATTCAAAAATGAAGACCACAAGCTTTATAAATATTCCTATGAGAATGTTTCCCTGCTGTGGTCAATATTTAGAGTCGCGTACATTCACAGTGTCCATCGTTATTCTATTGAGACCAAGGAGTAAATATCACTTCCTGTTTCCAGATCTTACAAGCTGAGAGGAAGGAAGGAAGAAATAGGGAGCAACCTGTTGGCTGCTGAAGCTGATGCTTCCCTTAAATAAGGATTGGATGGAAGCTATATGTTGCCTCAAAAAGCTTTTGTGCATTTGGGGGTGGGGTAAGGGTATTAGAAAAGCCTGTATTAGTGTAGTGCCCTGCATGGGTAATGATGTTCAGTTATTACCCCATTTACAGTCTTAATAGTTTAAATGTTGACCTTTATATTGGTGATGATTTACAGTTACTTTTTGATCTGTTGCACCTATACTAGACAATTAAATAGATGCAAATTTCCAACTAGGAACTAGGGATATATTTTGTTTTATCTTATTCTCTAGGACATTAGTGTGATAAAACTGTCTTCCTACTTGCCTATTCCTTAATACTGGTTGCCTGTTTCCTTTGATCCTCTTGGTCCAGTGAGGTCAAGTCATATTCCTCTCCTGAAATCTGTTTGCAGGTTAGCACTGGTGGTATCAGCCTTGCTGATGCTACTTTTCATTTCTCAATCTCTGGCTTTGTCTAGTGCTCCTTCTACTGCTTTCTCTACTGCTCTTTAGGACTTGTTCTACATTTTTGTTCATTTTCTGTTTCTAAGACTACTCCCTTCTGTACTTTTGCATCCATGTCCATAGGTTTTCAATAGGACTCTCGTGTATAGAACCCAAATAACTGCATATAAATTCTGCCATTTTTCATTTTGGAACTATGCCCCGCCTCCAAGACTAGGTTAAGATGAACAATAGATTACCTCTCTCAGAACTAGAATAGTCCCAGGGTGCCTGGGTGGCTCAGCTGGTTAAGCATCTGACTTTTGGGTTCGGCTTAGATCATGATCTCATGGTTTCCTGAGTTCGAGCTCTGCATCAGGCTCTGCACTGGCAGTGCAGAGTCTGCTTGGGATTCTCTCTCCCTCTCTCTCTGCCCCTCCCCCACTTGCCCTGTCTTTGTCTCTATGAAAATAAATAAATAAACTTAAAAGAAAAAGAATTGGAATAGTCCCTATTGGTCACCACACAGCTCGACTGAACATGAGCTAGTTACTAAACAGTGGAAAGATCCTTGATCATCCAGTCTCTCTCATCCTTCATATGAGACACTTTAAACAAAAGACACTCAGAGCTAATCATCTGAAAATCCTGCCAATGTAAAAATAAGCAAAACTTCAAAAACGTGTTAAAACAGGTGGAAAGGGATGTATGCTTATGCTTAACTCAATAAACATTTGAAATCATTGTTTTCCTTTTACAAAATAATTATGTGGGGGCAAGAGTAGCCTAGAGGTTAGATTTGGTCTGAGTTCTTGAGGTATAAGCATGAAGAGGACTTACTCTGTGTTCTCGAGCAAGTCACTCCTTGCATTTATTTCCCTAACTCTAAAATGGAAATAATGCCTCCATCCTGAGGGTCCTGGGGCTTACTGTCAGAGAAGTGCTTTGGAATCCACCACTGAAAGGCGCTCAGCAAGTTCAAAGCACTTATACTAAGAAAGGTTTATCATATTTATAAACCAGTAAATCCCTCCCACGGGTGTAAAATGATTCTTACTAATTTTATTCCCTACACACACCAAAAGAAAAGCTTCAGATTCTTCGATACCATCAACTTAACACAGTGCTCCAGCTGTGTCCAGGCACAAAACTCTTCCCATCCTCTTTTGATTTGCCCCACGCGCTGAGCCCAAGACAAAAGAACGCACTACTCGCAAGTGTGACTCATGTGAAAATTGAAACTGCATGCTCCATTTTATTAAGGGCCTTGCTTTCTTTCAGTGGGTTAGAATAATTGGGAATAAAGATAAACACTGTAAAATAAACATGAACACGGAGTCCAATAAAGTAGGTTTGAATCAGCTGCTCCCCAGCAAACCTAGTGGACAAGTGGGGAAACTGCAAGAGGCAAAAAGCTATTGATGATCCCAATGCATTACTTCACTAGGTGCTTCATTTAAATACATGACTTGAATTAATAGAAACAATGTCTAATTATAAGACACATGATAATTGTAATAATCAGGGTTTATTCAAGAGAAGAGGGAGCCTAGAAGAGAAGAGGGCACCTGGCCAGCAGCATGGATGGATGGCAGAAAGGTTGAAGGCCCAACAGAAGTGATGTTATCTATCGCAGGTTATAAAGGGAGAAAAGAAGAAAGATCCAGACATTCAGTGTGTGCCAAGTGTGCCAGGCATCACGCTAAGCACCTTACATGCACCGTGTCTTGTAATCCTAATAATGAATTTGCAAGATAGGCATTACGATTACTTTTATTGAAGCTGACACCTTGGGTCATTTTTCCAGGTACTAAATAATAGAATAAGAAAACTGTCTGGTTTCATATGACTCCCACTCACACTGTTGATAGCACATCCTGGCACCATTTTAGAAAACAACTCTGTTGATTCTGAAAACTATTGTTAGGTTTTTCATTATGATTTGTCACTAAGCACACTAAAATACTGTTAGTTTCCATCTTGGCTTGGTGTATCTCTTTCACCTCTCTGTAGCAATATTCCCTCTTCTTCAACAATATTTGGATTGAAAACCTGTTTTTTCAATAATTATATTGAATTATGTTTTAAATATGTTATTGGTAGTGAAAATACACACGTCAGGTCTAATGATTGGTATCTCCCTTCTGTCCTGATTTATCGATAAGGGTGGAGAGGCATTGAGATGAATTTGAGAATTTTCAAGAAATCTTGGCAAAAGGTGTAAGAAGAGAGAACAACTTTTTGAACACTTCTTTCAGGAAATTTGTTCCAAGTTGTGTACTAGGAAAGGAAAACTGTAGTTCTGGGAAATCCCATGAGGAGAAACTAGTGTGTGGATTGCTCTGAAGAAACCAGTTCTTGTCCCAACTGTTTGTGTCCTTCAGTGTCTGCCTCCAGAAAGTCTCTAGAAAGGAACTTGTGAGATTAGCTCAAAACTGTCCCCTGACCCACTAGTGCCTTGGCATTCTTTCTTTACTCCCCTCTCTCCACCGCTCTCTAGGTTACTTCTTTCTTCTCAAATCTTCAGTTTCAATTCCCTAGTAGCTTCTCTCTTGCCCTGGAGCCTGGGGCTAGGGATTGCCTTTGTTTATTTACTAGACACTCAGACTTTCAGCTGCTTTCAGGACAGTATCTGGGGTCTCTCTCTTCCATCTGAAAAACTAAAGGATGAACAAGGTCAGAGAGCCATAATGTTTCTTCTTCAGTGACCAAAGAGCACTGGGTTGCAATTCATCAAGGCCTGGGCAGGAGTGAGGCTCCCATACCTGGAAGTCCCTGTGGGGGCTTGATACTCATTAATTTAGACAAGTCTAAAACCAGCAAGGAGGCTAGCCTTACCATACCCAAGTGTGTAATCTTTGCATGCACAGTGTTTTGAAGTAGCATTTGAATTGCAGTCTTAAAGTGTCTTTTGCACTCTAAGATTCTAAGTATCTCTTTCACTGCAGAGAATGAGGTAAGAGAATGACAATTGAAGCTTGAACCCACTGCTTTTGAAACACAGCTTTGAGAAGACGGCCTGGTCTCTGGCACATGAAACTAGGTATGTATCAGGAATATCTAGGAGACTCTGTGCTTAGGAGCTTGCTTTGCTGTTTTTGATTAAGATTTACTCCACATGGTGGAGCGCCTGGGTGGCTCATTCGGTTAAGAGTCTGACTCTTCAGCTCAGGCCATGATCTTGTGGTTTGTTGGTTCAGGCCCTGTGTCAGGCTCTGCACTGACAGTGAGGAGCCTGCCTGGGATTCTCTCTGTCTCCCTCTCTTTCTGCCTCTCCCCTGCTCGCTCTCTCTCAAAATAAATAAACTTAAAAAAAAAAAGATTTATTCCATGAAGGTATTTCCAATGTCTCTCTGCTGTCTTTTCTTGTTACCACTTTTATTTTTCTAATCTTTGGATCTTAAAATTCTTCTTTTCTCACCCTCCCCATCTATTTTTATGCCTTTTGTTTCTTTCTATAATTAATCATCTTGAAGAAGAGCTTAAACTCATGAAGCAAAAGGTTTTCATCTATATCAGCCCTATACAATAGAACTTTTGGAGATGATGGAAATTTTCTGTAGTTGCACTGTCCAATACAGAACTTGTTAGCCATATGTTGCTACTGAGGGCTTAAGTTGTGGGTAGGGTGGCACTAAACAGTGACAACACAGCAGAGACTGGGGAGAGAATTACAGAGAGGAACAAGGTAGAAAAAGGACTCCTTTAATTCTATGATTAAAGTCCCGGATTGCTTGCTCCCTACTCCTTACCCTGAAAAATGGCTCATGTGCATGAAACCTGCCAAAATAAACACAGCAAACACTTAGGAAACTGAAGTTGGTGCGCAATATCACATCTGCAGATTGGACTCTGAGAAGCACATAGGTGAGGGAGACCAAAATAACAGTACAAAGCTTTTGAAACTAAATTGACATTCAAACCACAGTCCACAAAATGGAGTCAAGACACGTTCAGGGTTGATTGCCTGCTAAAATATATGATTTAAAAAGAAACCTGATTCTTCTAACTCAATCCTCAAACTGTTAAGGAATCAATCCAAGTCCCAGAAAAACCATAACTCAAATGAGAAAAGACATGCAATGCCATGATCGCACAGAGGTTGGAGTTAAATGACAAGGTTGTCAAGCAACTGTCATGAAAATACTCCAACAAGAAATGCACGAAAGGGAAAATGAAACAAACAGCAATGGGAACTAATAGAAAACAATCAAACAGAAGACGTAAATTCTAACACATTGTGAATTACTTTGAAAGTAAATGGCTCAGCCCCTTTCCTCAGCTGCTGCTAAAGTGCTTGGTCCGACTGAGGAAGCTTCACTTTATCCAGCAGCGCCCAATCTCCCCACCTCCGCCTCTGTCTGGGAGCTTGCGGGCATCTACTCGGGTCTCACCCTGCAGGATGATGAGGTGTCGGTCAAGGAGGATGAGGTCAATGCTCTCATTAAAACAGTGGATGTAAATGTTGAATCTTTCTGGCCAGGCTTGTTTGCAAAGGTCCTGGCCCACATCAACATCGCCAACATCAGGAGCCTTGTCCATAAGGTGGGGGCTGGTGGTTCTGTCCCAGCAGCTGGGCCTGCCACCTCCACCCCTGCTGCCCCAACTGAGGAGAAGAAAGTGGAAGCAAAGAAAGAATCAGAGGAGTCTGATGATGATGTGGGCTTTAGTCTTTTGACTAAATCTCTTCTTTAACCTGTTCAATAAAAAGCTGAACTCTTATAAATAAATAAATAAATAAATAAATAAATAAATAAATGTAAATGGCTTCAACTCACCATAAAAGACAGAGAATGGCAAAATGGATTCAAAAAATTATGATCCAACTATGGGCTGTCTAGAAGAAACTCACTTCAAGTCTAGGTATGATACAGGTAACTTAAAGTACAAGAATGGAAAAAGATACATTGTGCAAACATTAATCAAAAGAAAGCTGGAGTGCCTATATTAATATCAGACAAAGTAGACTGTGGAGCAAAGAAAATTAACAAAAAGTGGTATTACAAAATTATCAAAAGGGTCAATTACCTAAGAACACATAACACTCCTAAATATGTATGTTCTAAGCAGCAGAACCTGAAAAAACATGAAAGAAAAATTGCAAAACTGAAAGGGGAAATAGACAAACCTGTAACTAGAGCTAAGGCTTCTGTTAGTAATTGATAAACCACCAGACAGAAAATCAGCACAAAACCTGAACATGAATGTTCATAGAGGCTTTATTTGTAAATCAAAAAATGAGGATGGGTGGGAGGGAGAGGAGGGTGGGTGATGGGCATTGAGGAGGGCACCTGTTGGGATGAGCATTGGGTGTTGTATGGAAACCAATTTGACAATAATTTCATATTAAAAAAAAAAAACCTGAGAGATGCCTGGGTGGCTCAGTCAGCTGGTCATCCAACTCTTGATTTCGGCTTGGGTCATGATCTCACGGGTTCATGGGATTGAGTCTGCCTCGGGCTGTGCGCTGACAGCCCAGGGCTTGCTTGGGATTCTTTCTTTCCTTCCCTTTCTGCCCCTCCCCTGTACATGTGCTCTCTCTCTCTCTCTCTCTCTCTCTCTCTCTCTCTCTCTCTCTCTCTCAAAAGAAATAAATAAACATTGAAAAAATTAAAAAAAAACACTTAGAACAACTTAAATGTCTTTCAGTAGGTGGACGGATAAACAAATTATATTACATCCATTGCTACAGAATGAATGTGAACCCCCAGCTTTCAAATTCATATGCTAAATCCTAATGTCCAGTGTGATGGTATTTGAAGGTGGAGACTTTGGAAGGTGATTAAGTCATGAGGGTGGAGTTCTCATGAATAGGAGTAATGCCCTTATAAAAGAGAACCCATAGAACTCTGTTACCCCTTGCAGCATGTGAGGACATGGCAAGAAGATGGTTGTCTATGGACCAGGAAGTGGGCTCTTGCCAGACACCCAATCTGTAGACACTTTGATCTTAGAATTTCCAGTCTCCAGAATTATAAGAAATATATTTCTGCTTTTTAATAAGCCATCCAGTCTATCACATTTTGTTACAGTACAGCAGCCCAAATGGACTAAGATGTCCATACGATGGAATACTACTCAGTGATAAAAGAAACAAACTGCAACAGCATGTTGGATATCCATTATGCTGCATAATGAAAAGCAATTATATTCACGTTACCTTCTCAAAATGACAGAATTATACTGATGAATGACAGATTAGTGTTTGCTAAGGGTTCGGGTTGGCAGGAGGGCAGGACTATGAAGGGATGGTGAAATGGTTGATGATGATCTTGATGATTATCATAGTTCTACAAATCTACATGCACGATAAAATGTCATAGAACTATACACCCCCCACGCCCGCCAAATGTGCATATTAAAACTGGTAACAACCCAAATAGTGTCTGTAGTTTAGTTAATAGTATCGTACCACCGTCAATTTGATGGCTTTGATAATTATCCTATGGTTATGTAAGATATTACTGAGGCAAACTGGGAGAAACATCCATGGGAACTCTCTGTACTATTTCTGCAACTTCTGTGTAAGCCCTAAATTATTTCAAAACAAAAATCTTTTTTAAATGTGGCGAGAGCAACCAATCAACTGAATTTTTAGTTTAGTTTGCTTTTATAAATTTAAATAGCTGAATGTGGCTACTGGCTACAGTATTGGATAATGCAGGTCAATACTAAGTTTTGCCAAGTAACCTTTTTATTTTCTTTTGTTCTTATTCCTAGGCCTCTGAAGAGAAGTTTCATCTATGAAAAATTCACCCAACACATAAAATATAACCCATATTATTTAAATCTCCCTTAATCAAGTATAATAAATACTCTACAAAATTAGAGCATGATGAAATTCAAGGTTGAAAAGTAATGCATTTGGTCATTTTTCATTTTCTATCCCATTACGGTGACTATTGTGGATGGGAGAATATTAATTCCTCAGGTAAGTTGTAAAGGTTTTAAAATTCATAGCCTTGTTTTGTAAGCTCGCTGAATAGGAAGAAGTCTGTAGTTGTTTAGAACCTTAATTATCTCTTTTTACTGACAAAATCTAAGCAAGTTACTACCTCCAAATCCCTAGGAATGAACAGTTGGTCTTTTGACTCTCCCTGCCAAAATAAGTGACTTTAAATCTTTGCCAGCACAGGTTAAGAGATCAACTCTTCTCTCAGAGCTCACTGAAGTCAAACTCCTCTGACTCGCAGAAGGGGTTTGATTCTGCTCTCCCTTTTCGTTCATTCTCTTCTACTTTTCCCCAAGCCTCCTACTCTAGATAAAATATACAAGCTTATAGTGAGGCAAATTCATTGTGTGCTGCCTCAACGATCCTCACTCCCTGTCCTGCCCCCACACAAAAGCTAGAGTCTAATCATAATGAACTGCCCCTGCTTTCCTGGAGACACTCAGGGGTGGACACTCAAGGTTATTTTGGGACTGGTGGCTCTAAACCTCTCCTTCTAACCACTTCTCTCCTTCCTTGGTGATGGAAGCTGTTGTGACCTCTCACCTTGGGGAAAGGTTAAGCCTGGTTGTCCAGAGATTTCCAAACAGGAATAATACTAGGATTCTCTTCAGTGGCGTATGGGGGGTAGGGAGTAAGCATTAACACTACCATTGTTTAGGATTGCCAGCTCACCATGATAAAGTGCATACTGACTTTTAGTTGTTTTTTTTAAGCAATTTTTTAAGTTTATTTATTTATTCAGTGAGGAGCCTGACATGGGGCTCTATCCCACCAGCTGTGAGATCATAACCTGAGTCAGAAGCTTAACCGACTAAGCCACCCAGGCGCCCCCTTTTAGTTGGTTTTTATTACTGTTCGAAATTTTCTACAGATGGTGCACCCACTTGTTGCTTGTACTAGGGAAAACTACTCTTTAACCCTCCCTTCAGAAAGCTACCGTTTTCTCCCATCTGTGTCCAGAAGCACACCCTGCTCTCACCTTTCCAGACAAATGGAGGGAGACTCAGACATGACCCTAAAGTGTAAGTTCTGAAAGACAGGAGATAGTCTGATTCCCTCTTGGATCTGGAACAGGTAACACAAATGATTGGCTCTAATCTGTGTTTAGGAAGTTATTGCTAAATAAATAGAGAAATGAATTAGTTTTTATTTCACCGAAAGAAATGACCACTTTTCTGTTCTCTTCATGCTAAGAGATGATCCCACGAAATAGATTTCACTGCACTTAACTGAAAAATACCTCTCAGGAGTGATAATTTCCAGTTATCAAGGGCAGTTTTCCAGGTAAAGGGGTACCTGTGAGCCATTAGCAGATCAACTCACACTAGCTGTGGGATAAGTGCACTGGCCTGGAAAAAAGGGATCCTGCCAGGGCACCAACAGCATCTATGATACTCTATCCCTTACACCACTCATATCCAGTTGTTTCCCACATGAAATTCACTCCATCCTGGAAAAGATTTTCCAAGCTCTTTGGTTATGATGTTTAGAGGTGGTGGTTAGCAGCTGACTTACATCAATGGCTGAGTCATTCTGTCCACAGTCATTTCATGACTAATGAATTAAATGGAGCTGATGAAGACCATGATCCATTTACCTTTTAAGTCTTTGAGGATGGTACCAATCTCTGCCTTTCCATCTGGAATATAATATTGTTTTTGATGTATTACCTTAGAAATTTCAGGGGGTATTCATTTTGGTTTTTCCCACTGTAACAGCTCTTTATCTACAAATCATTGTGAGGGTTTTCACAAACGTTAAGTACACATATGCTGATTATAAATTTAGCAAGCCAGGAAATAACCGCAGGGTAGATTCATGGACCCTGTGCACCCACTATGAGATGGACCCAGCCTAGAACTCTGGACCCAGATATGGCTCTTCTCTAACAGGAGGATCCATGATGGTACTCTGTGTCCTTAGGTATCATAGTCAACTCAGATTCCTGATTCAACAGCCCACTTTCCCCAGTGTATCTTTATTTGAGTAAATGGCCATTGGCCCCATTGTAGAAGGAGGGAAACACTACTTTATACAGTTTCCATGGTGTTGCAAGTTAGGACGCAATAGGTTATGGGTCTAAGAACTAGCTAAAGTCTGTAAACTGATGAAGGGATCATGATTTTCCACTGAGTGGGTAGACCTTAGCGTTCTGTTCATCTATTCATGATATATCTTGATTGCTGATATACATTAAGCAAGACCCCTATTGACTTGTCCGTCAATCTCATTCTGGGAACACCATTTTCCATTAGGTAGCTCCATAGGTCTCTTTGAACACAGCCTGTTAGTCCGTCTGCTGTGCACTTTGATAATCATGCCCACCTTGCTTCTGGCCATCTGGCCTGTGCTATTCTGAGGTCCTATCATCCCCATTGCTATCAGGGAGCACAGTGCTATAGGAGGATCTCCTATCCTTTTAATCCTCACCTACATGGGACAGCCACTGCAGCTTCTCGACAATGCTGGTGCCCCTCTCATCCAGGAGGGGAGGCTGCAATATTGTGAAAGGAAATTCACCAGGGAAGAAGGCAGCTGTGAACCTCCAGCAGCCCAAACTCACAGCAGCTGTAAGCTGGATGCAACAGGCTGAAGAAGGGAATCTTGACAGGGCAGAATGGCATCCACTTCAAGGTCTTTCCTTTCTGCCCCAGATCCCTACTACATGGGTTTGCCTTAGTCCTTACAAATAATGACATTATCTGTTCACATGACTATTCCTGACCATAAAGGCTTTCTTTATGGTGTAACTTAGTTTAATCTCACTACTGAGGTGTTTTCTCAGTGGAGTTTATAAGGTTTTTCTGAATCCTGCATGAATAATGACTTTGACCAACTTATCTTTGTTTTCCCTGCTATAAAAATTTTGCAAATATAATCTTTCAATCCATATGACTCATGCCAAATGACTACTAATTTTTTTCCTGATGATAAAGCATCCATAATTCTTGTAGTAAATTTGAAAAGTAAAGAAAAACATAATGAAAAAATAATCTTATCTGACTATCTGAATATAACCGTCGTTAACAATTACATTTACTCCAGAGCACCTGGGTGGCTCAGTTGACTAAGTATCCAGCTCTTGATTTAGGCTCAGCTCTCACGGTTTGTGAAATATATCTCCCTGTGGGGCTCTGTGCTGACAGCATGGAGCCTGCTTGGGATTCTCTCTCTCCCTTTATCTCTGTCCCTCCCCCACTCTTTCTCTTTCTCTCAAGATAAATAAACTTAAAAAAATTGCTTTAAAAATAAACAACTAAAAGTCAGTATGCACTTTATTATCATGGTGAGCTGGCAGTCCAAAACAATGGTAGTATTAATGCTCACTCCCTATCCTGCCATGTTCCACTGAAGACAATCCCAATATTATTTCTCTTTGGAAATCTCTGGACAACCAGGCTTAGCCTTTTCCCAAGGTGAGCAGGTGCAGGCACAGGCTCTCTCCCTCTCTCTCTAAAAGAAAAGAAAAAAAAATTGCATTTACTCCCAAATATTCCTCTGTGTGTGTGTGTGTGTGTGTGTGTGTGTGTGTGTGTATAGGTACATATATATCCTATTTTTTTCTTTTTTTCTTTTTTTTTCAACGTTTATTTATTTTTGGGACAGAGAGAGACAGAGCATGAACGGGGGAGGGACAGAGAGAGAGGGAGACACAGAATCGGAAACAGGCTCCAGGCTCTGAGCCATCAGCCCAGAGCCTGACGCGGGTCTCGAACTCCTGGACCGCGAGATCGTGACCTGGCTGAAGTCGGACGCTTAACCGACTGCGCCACCCAGGCGCCCCTATCCTATTTTTTTTTCTTAATGTGACTTTATGTGACCTTTATCATGCCATTAAAAGTAATATTTGTAAGACCCTTTTTAACAACTACATGATATATTGTCATATGATTGTACTTTTATTAATGTAATTAATTTATTTGAACACTCTCCTAATTTTGGACATTTAGATCTTTCTTAATGTTTCAACTATTATTATAAATAACATTGCAGTGGGCATATTTTTTTAATAATTGAAGTATACTTGACATACAATGTTATATTAGTTTCAGGTGTACAACATAATAATTCAACAATTCTATACATTAGACAATGGTAAACACATTTTTTTTTTGTCTGCCCTTCTAGTCACTTAATTCATACAGTATTCCTTTAGCTGGCAGGTATTCACTCAGTCCCCATTACAAGCCAGAGGCACTGTGCAGTCAGCTAAGCACACAGCAAAAGACAAGGCAGGCGCTCTCTGCCCTCCCTGCTGCCATGGAGGTCAGGATCTGCTGGGGAAATAAATCTGGGAAGTACAGCAGGTCCAGGGGTGATGATGACTACGAGGGGAAGTGCAGTGGGTCTTGTGTCTTTGTGAGCTTGGGTGATCATGACAAAATATTACAGACTGGTGGCCTAAACAACAGAAATTTATTTTCTCACAGTCTGGAGAGTGGAAATCTGAGATCAGGGTGCCAGCACGGTCAGGTTCTGGGGAAGGTTCTCTCCCTGGCTTTCGATGGCCACCTTTCTGTTCAGTGCTCATGTGGCCTTTCCTCGGTGCAGGTGTGCCGATAGAGAGATGTCTTTTTCTCTTTTTATAAGGCCACTAATTATGTTGGATTAGGAACACTCTTACGACCTCATTTAACCTAATTGTCTCCTAAAAGCCTTATCTTCAAATACAGTCCCTTTGGGGGTTAAGGCTTCAACATATAAGTTGGGAGGGGCAGACATCAGTCCATAGCACCTTGGGAGCATTTCAGGAGAGAGTCTAGTTGAATATTTTTTTCAAATGTTTTAAAAAATTGGAGTTCTAGTAATTTGCTTTTTAATTTGGATGTACCCTTTTAGGCTTGCCAGATTTAGCAAATAAAAACAGAATGTTAAAAAAATTAAAATAAAAAATAAGATAAAAATACAGAATGTTCAGTTATATTTGAATTTCAGATAAACAGCAAAAAATTGTTAGTATAAGAGTGTCTCTTACAATA